CTTTCAGAGTGAATCAATCGAGCGGTGCACATCATGAAAGACTCATTTCATTTTGATTTGACACTAGTAACTAGTGTGATGTGTCTAGTCCGCTGATTGGTGCAGACTGAATTCTACCAGTCAGATTGTAATGTGGCCACCATTCTAGGTAGCTCACCATCACGGCGCACAACCTGACTGTTCCTTTGGAAGATTGTTGTTTTTTCCGTTCCTTTGGAGTCCTATCTTCACTACCTGCTTCTTTAGTCAGTTTTATATTTTTCGCCTGTAAGTCTTCGAGTTTGTGTCACACTAGACATATATCATTTGCAAAATCCAGATCTTATAGCAGTGATCCAGAGTATTACTGTCTCCTTGCTCCTCACAGTCTGACGTAGGCATAATCCAGTCCAACCTTAATTAAGAATATCATAGGTTGATAATAGTCTGGCAGTCTTGTCTTACTTCTGTATTCACTTCGAACGCCTCACTGAGTTTTCCGTTGTGGATCACCTGGCACAAGGCATGATCACACAACCGTCGTTGAATGAGGCTGATAAAGATTTCGGGCACTCCATAGTGTTGAAGTAGTTTGATAGTCAGTGAAACTGAGGTAGAGGGATTGACTGTCATTCTATGCTTTGTTCTGTGATGACAATGATGCGTAGAGTTCCAATTTTATTATAGAACTAGGTGAAATCAAAATGTTCATGACTAATCTCATCAACTTCTTCATACACTGAATGAAGGTTTACAAGAGACGTTTACATTCCAGAAATCAATGAACAATGAAGGATCACTTTAGGCATTTGTCAGATTAAGAAAAGGACACGTGAACTAACCAACTTTTCTCTGTGGCATCACGTAAGATTCTGAACTGAGTAGGAGACGATTGCTTAGAAAAGAAGAAGAAGTAAAAGCGATTTCGTGCAATATTATATATATATATATATTATCTTTTAAGCATTTGAGAAAATCAATAACAACAGTTTAAAAAAAACATTAAGGTATATCCGTTTTATTCCACACGTTAGAAGTATATAAAGATTGAATTTATATTTTAAAAAATTGAGCATATCAGTAAGTCCGCGGGAAAAAAGAAAATATCGATTAGAAAAAAAGCAGTTCAAGTGGAAAGAAATAGTCATGAAAAGTGGATATATAATGTTAATAAAGTGGAGAAAATATTTCAGTAACTAAGCAACCAAAAAAAATACTGGCTGACATTCATTAATATGAATTACTAATTCAATTATTATTATTATATTATTATTGCTCCCTTGGGTTCCTAGTGGAACATACGGCTTCAACTGCACGTCTCCATTTTCTTCTTTCTTCTGCTATACTTTTCGCCTGCATCCATGTTAATCCATATTCTTTCAACTCCTCTTCACACGGTCTCCTCCGTGTCACCCTTGGACGTCCCACTCGCCACTTCCCTTTCGGCCTGGTTCCACTCGAGCAATGGCTTGGTGAGCGATGTCACCAACCGGCCTCCTCAGCCACGAGTGTCCAATCCATCTCCACTTTCTCCTGCATATTTTTTGGTTGGCGATTGGTTGTTGCTTTGTTTGTTCCCATAGTTCCTTGTTGGTGATTCTTTCCGGCCCGGCCATCTGATCTTCAGTATAGATCAAGGGAAGACAGTTGTTAATAAAGGTCTGCAGCCTTTTGGAAATATACTTTGTGACCCACCCGCCAAGTTTCTGATCCGTATAGAAGAACTGACTGACTTAGTGTTTGTATTGAAAATCCGAATTTTGTTGTTGATGCTGGCTGAGTGACGAAGATTTCCAGATTGATTTTAGGCTGATGAATGTGTTTCTCGCCTTCCCGATTCTCGATTTGACATCCTCGTCCGCTCCTCCTGTAGTTGAGACAATGCTCCCTAGATAAGTGAATGAAGTAACCTCTTTCAAATCCCTCCCGTTGATGGTGATTGACGTCAACTAATTCAATTACTATATATATATATATGGTTTTTAAGAAATTATATCCCGTGAGGGAGTTGGATGAATCATAGGTGTGAATACATGAAATAATAATAATAGTAGTATGAAATGTAATTTAAACGTTTGCGATCATAGTTAATGATCATATTTAACTGGGGGATGGTGACTAGCAATGGAAACCAGGATGTACATTTCGTCCTGTTTGGGACTCTTTAACTGGATGTACACCTGCATTTCTCAGTGAGTGATGATGTTCCCACGGAGGCTTGAACATCACCACTCACCGAGAAATGCAGGTACATCCACTCGCTGACGAGTCCCACAAATAGGACGAAATCCATATCCTGGATTCCATTGCTAGTCACTATCGTCGAAGCATCTGCACAAGAAGCCGACATATCAACCTGAGACCGAGCACTTCGGTTGAATCAATCGACGAGAAAATCTAAAATTCAATTAAATTGTTAATTATAGTTCAATGTGAAGCGGCAAAACAGTTAATGTCATATATATACAGAACAATGCATAGGATGTACAGAACTTGGAAAGGGTGTGAAATTATAGGATTAGTAGACAAATCGAATAATAAACAAAAGTGTTACGTAACAATGTGTGCGATTTGATAACAAAGAACTTAACGTTGCGAAATAAAATTGGTTTAAAATGACAAGTATAAGGAGTGAAATAATACCGGGGACAATTCAAGGTGAGGACAGTAGTGGTAACGATTGACGTACACAAGTTGAATAAACACAACGAAAAGTAGGTAGAGGTTTGTATATATATACTATATATATAGTATAGTAATTGAATTAGTAATTCATTTTAATGCATGTCTGTCAGTATTTTTTTGGTTGCTTAGTTACTGAAATATTTTCTCCGCTTTATTAACATCGAAACAAGAAAGCCAGATCTTTCTATACAGAAAATGTTCGTCGAACCACTCCCCTCCAACTTTCATGATGACAATCCCTCTATGCTTAAGTATGCTAAGTATGCCATGATGTATACATATGGTTATCTTAAAAAATTATATCCAGTAAGGCAACTGGATGAATCATAGGTGTGAATACATGAAATACTAATAATAGGAAGAAATGCAATTAAAACTAAAAATGTTTATGATTATAATCATAGTTGAATGTGAAATGGCAAAACAATTAACGTCATATATATATATGAAATAATTCATAAAATGTATAGAACTTAGAAAGGGGTGTTCTCAATTGTAAGATTATTAGGCAAATCGAATAAAATACAAATAAAAGCGTTACGTAATATTGTGAGAAATTTGATAGCATAGAATTTAACGTTGTAAAAAAAAAGAATTGATGTAAAAATGACAAGTGAAATAATTTCGGGGACAGTGCAAAGTGAGAGGAGTAATTGTAACAACTGACGTAATAAGGAAGAGTATACAAATTGAATACAGAAAAATTCAGCGAAGAAATATTTACCTTTCAATTAAATCCTCATCTCTGGCTGAACTCTAATATATATATATAGCATTTTTTATTACAATACACAACAGTTTACCAATCATCAAGTGGCACTGATATGTTTGTTAACAATAATTAGTCAGTGAGTGTCAAAATGTCTACTGGTGGGGTGATAATTAACGAAGAAAATCAATACACACAGTTAAAAGGTAGAAATGGTTAGAATAAATTAATTCTACAAGGATAACACGTAAATTAAAGATGAAGTGGTGAAAATAAATAAAAAATATTGTAAAATAATTTTGACAATTATAATTTTTATAGTTTTTAAAGGTTTAGGGAGAAGGGGCCGAAGTAGTCCTGTTTATGCATTTTTGTAATAATGACCACGGTAAGGAAAGTGACTGTACAAATTTCTTCTGACCACACACGTTTGGCTTTTTCAGGTGAATTCCGATTGCTTCAGCTGTCTGTAGAAGACGAACTCGTAGAGCAAAATTAAGATTATTCAGAATGCGATAAATAATTTTAAATGCTGTATTAATATCAATCTTATGCTCAGTATCAACAAGGTTAGCGAAAATAGAACTACGAATAGATCTTGTTTGTTCCTTGCTTAACCAAGTTGTATGATGTTCAGAAATACGATGATGAACTTGCCTGATTGTACGCCCAATGTAGCTGGCTCCGCAGCTGCAGTCAAACTGGTAGATACACATAGAAGAGGCAAATTTAGATAGTTTATCCTTATTTCTCAAACATACGACGCAACGTCATGGACTGACAACCTCTCCGATTTTTTCATCCTGTCCCAGGGCTGGCCAGCGAGCAAAGACTTGTACGGAAGCATCTGAGATGGCAATCACAGCACATGTGTGTCCAAGCTACAGAAGCCAATGTTTCTAGATGACGACACACAACGAATGGGGATCTACAATGTGTCCAAACACACACTGCTGGACCTCACGCGATGATGCTATCGAAAGCAAACAATCATGAGAAGACAGCGATGGTCGAATGTGCAGAGTCACCGCCGCACGCCCTCAGCTTGGATAAGCCAGTTTTCACAAGTGTAGAGCGAGGCAGCACGCGTGATTCGAATCATTGCAAACCCGACCTTTGACAGCCAGACTGAGATCGCGATAGATTTCATGATACAGTTGGAAATTTCATCCGTCACGCCTCCTCGCCAGCACTCACACAACTACCCAGATACACGAACTTATTGACAACTTCAAGAGGTTCACTTGCAAGAGTGAGTGCAGGTACAGGCTCCTACCAATCTTGTGACGGTACTTTGCACTTAGACGGCGTAAAGCACACTGATCGCCAACTGGTTAAGGCATTGGTAAAACTTCTATATTCCGATTCGGATTCCACAAGAACGATGGCCTGAATTGCGCGCACTGTCGTTCAACGGCCTCCTCAGCCAGCATATGCCCGATCAATTCATCTCCATTTTCTCCTACATACTCACTTGTTGAGCAATCGGCTCTGGCCTGTTGGTTTGTTCCCAGCCAGCCAGAGTTTCTTCTTGCTAATTCTTCCTCGCCGACCGGGCTGGCTGGCTATTTGACCCTCAGTATGGAGCCAGCCAGCGAAGAAAAGAACTGCTGATAAAAGTCTTCACTGGCTTGCAGGAAATGCTTCTTGTGACACACAGTGCAAGTTTCTCGAGCGCTTGGCTAACTCAAGCCACCTAGCTCCACCAGAGTCGTCTTTCAAGATTAACTACAAGGTGAGGGTGAGTGGTACAAAGAGTGTCAGAGGTTTCAGCATATTTGAATGGCGGAGGCGTTGGCGGTTCGTCAATACAGTCTCGAACTCAGTATGCGGGAAAAGGTCTTGTCAGTCTTTTATTCTGCCATAGTTTTCACATCTTCTGCTTCACTCAACCAGCATGAAAAACAAGATCCGGAAGAGAACTCAGTCAGTCAATGGTTCTCTATGGTTGAGAAACTTGCACAGCGTGTCACAAAAAAGAATTTCCAACAAGCCATTGAAGACTTTTATCAACAGCTGCTCTCTTCGCTGTCTGACTGCATACTGAGGATGAAATGGACAGCCGGTCAACCGGCGAGGAAGAATTAGCGAGAAGAAACTCTGGCTAGCTGAGAACAAACCAACAGGCAAGAGCCGATCGCTCAACAACAAGCGGGTATGTAGGAGAAAATAAAGAGATGGATAGATCGGGCACACTTCACTGAGGAGACCGTCGAAGGATATCGCGCGTAATGTAGGCCATTTCTCTGATGGAATCCGGATGAGAAACGATGAGTTGGTCGTCGTCTGTGAGATGACGACATGGAGTAGATAAGAGATTTTGGGCATTCATGGGGCCAAGCAGCTTGAAGAGGACAGCGGAAAGTAGAAGAAAGTGGAAATGTGTTGTTGAAGCGGTATGTTTCACTCGGAAGACAAGGGAATAATACTTATTTCATTTGGAAGGCAGAGAAATGCAGAAAAATTACATTGATCGAAATCATTTAAACATATTGTAGCACAAAAAGTTGTTGAACTTTAAGGCTGAAATATTTATTTACAAACACTATATGCAGCTTGTTTTAATTCTCAACAAAAGAAATCTAATCCATGTTTCTCAAAAAATGCTTACCATGACAACGGCGACAACAACAACAACCACACATTCAAGAGGTATATATTATGAAATCTCTCTCCTTCTACTAATTGAAGTATTACTTTCTCGAGTATTTCTTGAACAAACAAACAAACAAACCTACAAAAAAAAGTATCATGTCCAATATTAAAGGAAGCTGGTTACAAGTTGAATTTCTAAAGTATATCTCAAATAACACTTCAATGTGTCCAGTAAAAATGTTTACTGGACGAAAACAAGTAACTAACTATAAAAGCATGAACGAATTAGATAAGGATTATTTGTTGTACATATATATATATATATATATATATATATATATATCGATTTTCGAATTTTCGTCATGAAACAAGCCACCTAGCAGGGCGGCCACCTTGCAAACTTGACTGACAGAATTCCCTCTGAACCAAAGAAAGGACTAGACACGTCACACTGGTGTCCAATCAAAGTACCCACTACAGTTCTACAGGAGGTCAATTATTATTATTATTATTTGCTTTAATTCCTAGAGAAACATCGGGCTTCAGCCGCACATCTCCATTGCGTTCGGTTCACTACCAACTTTTTCACCTCGCTCCAAGTCTGACCACATGCTTTCATCTCCTCTTCACATGACCTCCTCCAAGTCACCCTTGCACTGACGACCAACTCACCGCTTCCCTTTCGGGTTCCACTCGAGTGATGGTTTGTCTAATGATGTCTCTTGATGGTTTCCTCAGAGTATGGCCAGCCAATCCACCTCCATTTCTTCCTGCCTATTTGTTTCACAATTGGTTCCAGGCCGGTTTGCTCCCAAAGATCCCTCCCTGTTACTGATCTATTCTGGCCGGCCATCTGATCTTGAGTATTGAGCCAAGACAGTTGTTAATGAAGGTCTGAAGTTTGTTTGAGGTGCTCTTTATGATGTGAGCCCGAACAGCTCAGTTGTAACGTCTCTGACTGCAACACCTGGTGACGTGAGTTCGGATCTTAGAAGGGACATAAGTTCCTTCAAGGTTGTAGATACGCCTTACTGACGAATGCTAACAAGCATGAAACCTAGGTTCGACAAGGCTTTCTGCCGATTTCCTCCCACCGTCTCATATCAACAATTCACAGTGCAGTGCACAGTGATGGTGAGCCACCTAGTAGTATGGTGGCCACATAGTAAACAGGACTAACTGACAGAATTCAGTCTGCAACAAACGCAAAGGACTAGACACACACACATTACTCTAGTTACTGATTAGTGTCCATTCAAAAATGAACCAACATCAGTTAGAGAAGTCATTGAGAACCAAGGAGTATTAGACAGGTGTTTCATCCTATTAAGGGACGCTTCAACAGTACGTACTCACGACGCCACCCACCAGGGATTTAACCCATGATCCTTAGGTTACGAGACCAAGTTCACTGACCAGTTAGTCTCTTGGGCGGGAATTCAATAGCTCATGAATACGAACTTTATCAACTCGTCAATATAATTAATTCGAGATTTCGAAAAACCCTATAATCCGAATAGCAGTCGCTAGCCTACTGATAACCACTAGATGGGTGGCGATAATACAAGTCCGTTTCATTGCTCTCAATAATCTTAGACGTATTAATGAGCATCTTCCTTGATAATTTCAACGAAGCTAGAGATGATCGATTACAATAATTTCAGAATTCAATGTTTGATTGACTGACTGGTTTCAACATAGAACTTTGCACAGATGTGCAGCAGTTTGAGTCGCTACACTCCCTCCATATAGCACACAAAGCCAGAGAAGAAAGTAAAAAGAAATGCAAAATAGAGACATTAAACAGAGATATGAGGCGAAAAGAATAATTATATTCAAGAACAATATAGTTTTATTGCGTATTATTACTCACAATGAGTAGAGGCATCTGCACCATCACTTAGAACAATTTCGAGCCATATCACCGATAATTGTCTCCAGCCATTGGTGTATACGTCCCTAGGACCCCAACCAGTCACGAAGTCTACACCTCTCTACTTGGCTGGCTGGCTGGCTTAAACTAACGGTTGTGGATTTCATTGACTGTTCAGCCCATGTTTTGGTTTGACCACGATTGGCTCTCTCCCAACTTGATCTTAAGATAGCTAACATTTCCCGTTGTTGAGGAAGTCGATGGCTAGGCATACGTAACACATGTCCTAATCATCTCAATCGATGTAACTACACAGCATCGTCTACTGATTTCCCCTCCCACTTATACCTAGCACTCGAAGCTTAACCTCAATATCGATCACCCTATTATACCACCACTTAACACTGAAGATAGAATGCAGGCACCTAGGATCAAAGACAGCTAGCCAAGCTCTTCATGTCTTCCACTCTCAAAGGCCAGGTCTCATAGCCATAGCCATATGTGTTCCAAAGACTCTCCTCTATTGTCAGCGTCTTCACCTCGAAGGACTATATAATCTGCATATATTCTAAGTCAACGAGGTTATTCCCCGGTAACAAGTCAATCCCTGATTCTCTGAGGCTAGTAAGGGTTAAGTCCATTAGTACATCTATGACGAAACTGAATAGAAATGGTGATAGTGGACATCTCTCCCTGACGGATACCACTAGTTTTCACCATTTCGAATGACAAATCACCGTAATCTCTCACCTGAGTGCATGAATTCGAGTAGAGTGCCTTGATCAGATCAATGTATTTTCTCGGCATTCTTTTCAGTAAAGAGAGTGTCAAGGATGTATTTACATTGAAGTTAGGTAAGGAGGAAGAAAGGAAATCCATGAGGATAAGCATCTACACCACATAGTAATCATACCGTCTAGTGATGTTAACTGACATACGATTAGGTTAGAAGAAGAGTTCAGAGATGATCAATTCAAAACCTGGCTATTCGTTCAAGCATCTTAAGAAGGTGTAGACTGCCCACCTGGCATTATCAAGACGCTAAGAACCAATGACTGGAGGCTGTTAGTAGCAGCATGGCTCAAAATTGTTGTCAAAAGGTGTAGATATATCGCACAACCATAAAATCCTCAGTATTCGTCAATTACTTATCTTTCCTGCAGCACACTTTCGTTAATTACAGTTCCTTTTCCCCCCTTCATGAAGCTTATTAACTTCAAGTGTTCCATTTTACTGAAAAGTTCTGTATCGAAAACGAAGACAGTCACAACGGATATGCTCAATCTCTGAAGATGCAGACACATCCAATTAAGAAGCTCCAATTAGGACGAAATTCATATCAAACAAAATCGATACCATCTTTCTTTTTCAACACTGCGATCAACACCCATTGTGCAGCTCCCTTCAAAAAAATGAACACAAATGTAACCAAAGACTACTTATATGATAAAGACAGTTTAGGAAAACAACAAGTTAAGTCACAATACTACTCCCACGAAACTAAGCTATGAAGACAACTGGTCCCACCCCATGCATTTTTATGTTGAACTCAGCTACCAAGGATAGATTATTCATGTACCATGTTATATACGACCTGCATATTTCAAACATTGGAGGAGATTTGTTGCTTAGGTGGGTGATTTTGACTAAGTTGTGTTCACTGAGAAGCTGGTTGATTTAATCGTGGAGCTTTCATTGTTCGTCTACACAACAACTCCTCTATACTAAAACCTGAGCTGAACATGTTGTCTAGAAGGATAACGAAAGCTCAGCAATTAAATCAATCAGCTCCTCAGAGAACAGAACTAAATTAAGAGATGCGTATTTGTTGTTTAACAGCTGATGACATCATTCATCAGTTGTGTCAATCAGAGTCAGACTCGAGCCTGGAACTTATTGGATCACACTCAACCAACCATTCGGACAAAGGACAACATTACAAGCTTATAAACAACTGTTATCTGTACTGATCACTATCGGTGGTTTTATGTCAGGGATGCTGAATATCTCCATTTTTCAGTTTCGTCTCATCATAAATGTACCAATATTGAGGTAAAGTACAGTTAGTCTTAGATAAGGCAGTTGAAAAGCTGAATCGACCGAGATGGCTAAGACACTTGCTACGCATGTCAAAGAGCAAAATAGGACCAGGTTAGAAAAAGGTTGGAGATGGTAAAATTAAAACCTGGTTTAAGTCATGTAGGTGGGCGGGGTGTAGACTCCCTGGCTAGTGTTCGCAGGCTACTAAAGGCCAACAGCTTGAGACTAATAATGACATGACTGAAAATCGTTCTCGATAGAAGCTCCATCAATCTTTCCTATTTGATGATTACACACACACTGTGTAACTTCTTTCTAAAAATGGTACACACAGGTAACTGGAAGACTTGTAAGGCGAGAGACATTTGAGGAAAACAACAGGTTTTGTCAAAATACTAACTTCTAAAGTGTTAGTAGAAATAAACAGACTGCCAGTCCACTTCTGTTTACTTGAAGTCAGCTAACCAGAATAGATTATTCCTGGACCAGAGTATGTATGAACCTCACACGTACTGCTTAAGAGGGCTGATAGATGTGTAAAACTTGGGCACTGTGGTAGTAAGTAATTCAATATTAGTTTGTTTATTACATATCACACACACACACACACACACACACAGTGAAACAGTATTATTTACTGGATGACACAGTTTCGAATAAAATTTATTGTTCATAATCATATCATTAATTATAACCATACGACTTCAAAACTTGAGTTTTATAGTTTTCTTTTGTCCTCTCCTATTTGTCGTCGTAGGCGTGGTAGTAGAAGTTTCCAGATGTTCGACTGGACTGGTATTGAATCATTCCTATTACATGTAATCCCTGTCAGTTAATTCAATAAGCAAAGCTTCTGTTATCAGTCCTGCCCCTTCCACCCTGTGACATTAGATTTTAAAACTGTCATCTTATCCCATCCAGCCTATGCTGTGTGCAATTGCATGTAGCGAGTGCAGATCTCTTATGTTATTCGGGTCAACTAATCTAGATCTAGCTGCTGAAGTTTTGTGCTCCACTAATCTGACTGCCCCTGTTTTACTTGCTACTCTGATCTTTGTGTTACTTGACCCGACAATTATTGTAGGCAGAGCATTAGATAAACTAAATTCTGTTTTCCATTTGCCTCAAAGGCAGGGTCCTTTAACCGATAAAGCCTGTTGAGTTTGTGGGTGGTTTGAATACCAACCACTTTTATTCCTGCCTTGTTAAGAATTCTTCACCACAGGGAATTCGGGATTGATTACTCGTATGGGAAGAAGTACTACTAATGATTTATATTTCCTTTTGTTGGTGTTGTCATTATCCTGTGGATGTTTGACATGCATATCGTGCTCACTCAAGAACATCTCCCACAATGGCTAAGCAAAGGTGTAGTTCCAACCATTAACAGTTCGATATTGAACCATCTGGTGCAAACCGGCCACAAAGCTAGCCAGCGTGGAAGAATCCTTCTCTATAATCTCCCGGGTGCCCAACAAATTGCCAAAATCATCGAATCACCGCATGCTCCAAACAGCAGAGGCTATTACAATTCGCCTCAAACAACCAATGCTCTGTGTTTAAAAGAAGCAAGTCCAGCCAGCCCCTACTGTGGTGAGAGCAGGCTGCTAGCCAATTGGTTGACATTAATCTACGTCAATGTCTAGATCACTAATATAGGCCGTGAGAAAATATGAACAAGGCTGTTTCAATAACCAATCACAGCAAACTTAAACGTGGGCAAATATGATTCGCAGATAGATGGCTCCACTTTCCGAGGAACTCGAAAACAACCAATCAGAAGACTGCGTTTGTCTACTTGACTAGGCCATAATAATTAATGTATGTGAGATTTATATAAATACGTGTTGATTTTCGTAATAAAACGATCTGTTGCCTGGCCCTTGTCTTCTGTTGTTACACTACTACTGCCCTGGCCTTCAGTAGAAACCAGAAATTCATGAATTTGTAATATTACCTTTCCTAATTTTTTCTGATATTCAGTCTATTGTTATGTTGATGCCATGGAACTGTAATCTATTGATATTATTGATTCGATGTTATTTAAACAACGACATTAATGTTGTTCATAACACTAATTCATTCATTCATTCATTCATTCACTATAATGTATATATAACTGGAGAGCCTGATGAGGAGGAGGTTATCGAAAAGAGTACTCTTTGCTCAGTAACTATTCTTTTGAAAATAATATGGAAGCCCTGACAGACACTACTAATCAGTTACCCAGACTGAGATATACAGAATGGGACTCGAACCCAGGACATGTTGGATCATAATCACCCGCAATTTACGACAGAAAACTAATTCGCAACAACAATAACAACAAAAAGCGATTATTATAATTACTATTAACAGAATTAACGCAAATACCAATATAGGTATTCATAATCTCCACACACACACACACACACACACACACACACACACACAGAGGCAAAAAATAGAATTTTCTGGAAAAATATAACAAAATAGTAAGACCGTCAACCTATCAGTCAAACTGGATCGATATGTGTTTCGTTTTTTTTCAATCTTTTCTTCTCTTTCTTATCCATGTAACTTTTGCAGCATTTGATCACGTATTGAAGAACTGCTATACAATGCTTTAATTAGACAACGTAACTCTGACGGTGTGATACGTGACTCCGTGGACAATGGTCCTTTTCCATCCATCCATAAGACATCACGGATTATAGCCATTGATGAAGCTGACAGAACACTGATAACGCCTTGTAGACGTTGATATTCTGGACAACGTCGATGAAGTCGTGCTGTGTTGGAGTTCTGTTAACAATAAAATATTAGACAGTGGAATTAATAATCTTGATTAGAAAATATATTATACGTTAACTTACTGTTATTATATACATTACAAACTGCTGATTTTGGACCAGTTAAATGTGCCTTTATAAATTCACTTAGGAAGAAAGACAGATAAAACAATGGACAGATCACTTCAAAGGACTCTTGAACCGACCACCACCTGTAACCCGCCATCCAGAAATACCAACAACAGCACGTACACAACTGAAAGTTGACACCGATCCTCCAACGAAAGCTGAAGTCTTGAATGCAATCAAGCTTCTGAAAGCTCAAAAAGCAGCTAGACCAGATGGAATACCTCCTGAAGCACTGAAAGCGGACCCAGAGACGACAGAACATATGCTGACTCCATTATTCTAAAAGGTATGGAAGGAGGGGAAAGGTGCCTACTGACTGGAGGAAAGGTTACCTCGTGGAACTACTAAAGAAGGGAGACTTACGCCTCACTCTGCAAGAACCGGCGAGGAATCATGCTCCTGTCGACGCCAAGTAAAATTCTGAGTCGCATCATCCTGGAGAGAATTAAGGATGCACTGGATACAGAACTCCGCCCCACCAGAACAAGCTGGATTCAGGAAAGTCAGGCAAATCATGTTCTGACCAAATTGCAACTCTACGCATCATCATTGAGCAAAACATGGAATGGCAATCAAACCTCTACCTCAACTTTATAGACTTCGAAAAGGCTTTCGACAGCGTTGACCGCGAAGTAATTTGGAAACTACTCGAGTACTATGGCGTACAGTGCCCCAAATATTCATCAATCTTATTCAGCACGTTGTATGACAACGGAAAATGTCAAGTGATCCACAATGGAAAACTCAGTTAGGCGTTTGGAGTAAACACAGGAGTCAGACAAGGGTGCTTACTATCACCAATGATATTCTTAATTGTGGTGGACTGGATTATGCGTAAGACAGTGGGAAACGAGAAGACAGGGATATCCCGGACAGACAGATGTGAAGAACCTAGAAGACCTAGATTTCGCGCGTGGATGATTTATGTTTGATGTCACATAAAATCGAAGACTTACAAGAGGAAACCGACAAACTGGTCAGTTGAAGAAGCAGTCGGTGAAGACACGACTCCAGGTGAACATAGACAAGACGGAGGTTATGAAAATAACCAACCAACCAACAACAACGACAGCAACAACCAATCACCATCAACGAGAGGGCTTTGAAAGAGGTTACTTCATTCACTCACTTACCTAGCTAGGGAGTATTGTCTCAACTACAGGAAGTCGGAACGGACGAGGATGTCAAATCGAGCGAGAATCGGGAAGGCGAGAAACACATTCATCAACCTGAAACCAATCTGGAAATCTTCGTCACTCAGCCAGCATCAACAACAAAATTCGGTTGGATTTTCAATACAAACGTCAAGTCAATCAGTTCTTCTATACGGACCAGAAACTTAGCGGGCGGGTCACAAAGAATATTTCCGATAGCCAGTTGCAGACCTTTATCAACAACAACTGTCTTCACTCTATACTGAAGATCAGATGGCCGGGTCGGAAAGAATCACCAACAAGAAACTATGGGAACATACAAAACAAGAATCAATCGCCAACCAACAAATATGCAGGAGAAAGTGGAGACAGATTGGACACTCGCTGAGGAGGCCGCTGAGTGACATCGCGCATCAAGCTATTGCTCGAGTGAAACCAGGCCGAAAGGGAAGCGGCGAGTGGGTTGTCAGTGAGAAGGTGACATGGAGGAGATCGTGTGAAGAGAAGTTGAAACAGTATGAATGGACTAACATGGATGCAGGTGGAAAGTATAGCAAAATACAGAAGCAAGTGGAGACGTGCAGTTGAAGCCGTATGTTCCACTAGGAACCCAAGGGAACAATAATAATTATTATAAATTCACTTACTCCTATGGAACTAGATATATTGTGACTATGTGATACAGACAATGTGTGCCAAAGGAATATTATTCTGACATATTTCCACAGTTCAATACTGAATTAGCAACAAAAAAGTTTACTTTCCTTTACGTTCCCAGTGGAATATAGGGGCTTCAAATTAGAGGCTTGAAGTTTCGGTAGCAGTGATGTTTATGTCTACGGGATAGCGTTGCTAGTCAGCCTCATGTCCAACCTTTCCTCTCTATCAGTCTTATTATTGACTTAGCGGTGTGAAAGAGTGCATCGGCCGGGGATCGAACCCCGGACCACACAAGTGGTTGGCGAGCATTCTGCCGCTATACCGAGGACGTATATATATCACGAATTGGTAGAAGTTAGAACTGATGAGCCACTGAATCGGGTCCCAGTGTCTGAATGGTATACGAGCTTGTTTTGTCACCGGAACATCCTGTGTTCAAACCCTAGTGGTGGATTCGTACTACCAATGATTCCCAAACTAGGATGAAACAGATGTCCAGTACTCCCTCGTTTTCAATGGTTCTCTAACTGATATCAATCCGTGATCAACTCATAAAAGGATGACTCAGACCAATCGTTTGCAAGAATTAAAAAGTCTATCAACCAACAAGAATGTCAATCAGCTGACAACCTTCAGTATTTGAAGTAGTCTTTTTTGAGAAGTCTTAGGAAGAATAGCAGGGGCGAATAATAAAAGGTAATGAGCAGAATACATGAATTATTGACTGGTAAGAGAAGACGTTGAGTTATGATGCTAGCAGAAAGTCTCAACCTCTTTCTCATTTAATAAATCAAACGAAAAATAGCATTCTCAGAAATCACGGGGATATGAGACGACCAACAGAGATTCGAAGAGAAACTGATGCCAAGAAAATAAGAGATATTCGATTTACTCCCTGTCATCACAGTGCCGTCCAGTGCTGTTACAGGAATCATGGGACTCAATCAGTCAGTACACACACAAGTCTTGTTCGCATCTGAAATTAAAAATTAATATGGCATTTAGATGGATTGAGTGTAAGACCATTTATGTGAGGCCAATGGTTAACTTCAGATCAGAATCTGTTTATATATATAAGAACAATCCAATGCTCACAAACCACTGGGACAGAAATGGTTAAATCGTGAGCATATTTAATGAAATCAGCTATTGAATAGTACGGAATGGAGGGAGTGCAGTCAATCTGGAGGTGCACCAGTTTCCGTATTACCAAAGAAGTGGAGTGCTTTCCATTCAAAACAGTATGCTGTTTGTTGTTTTCTACCCGAGAAATGAGAAAGACAGTCAGCCAGCTAGTAACGCAGGAGACTAAATGCGTGCTTCAACTCAGCTTGCTTAGTAAAAATGTCGTAAGAATAGAGTCAAAAGCAGTCGGAGCCGCAACAGCAACAACGGTGCCGTCTAAAAAGGAAGCTCAAACAAACTTAATGCCTTTATCAAATTCTAGAAATTGAAGTGGACAAAATTACTTGAATATGCAGGCGAGAACAATCTTCAAAAAAAAAGACGAATAGCTTACTAGTTAGAATTTAATTGGTAGATGGTGACTGACAGTGGAATGAAGCCAGGATGAGCATTTCGTTCTATTTGGGACACGCCAGCTAGTGGATGTACCTGGATTCCCCAGTGAGTCAGTGACGATGTTCCCACTGAGGCTCGAACCCAGTGCCAATAGTTTTAAAAGTTAAAGCATTATCCACTCGACCACTGCTAGTCACCATCCACCAATTAAATTCGAATTACATGCCCAGACATCGTCATCGAAGCATGTGCACAAGGAGACGTCGACATATCAATCCGAGATCGAGCACTTCGGTTCAATCAATCGACAGGAAAATCTAAAATTCAATTATATAAGTTTACTAGTTAGTTTCTTTTTTGAATGAAATCTGTTTTTCTCTTCTATAATCGATCGTATCAGCTGAAGTATGTGTGTATGTTATAGCCATCAACATATACTGTCCTTCATTCACACTCTCTTTGCCTTTCGATGAGGATTAGTGTCGTAGTGAAAAGGAAAATTAGATGTGTGAATATCATATATGCCCCGTACAAGGGTAATCATGTGTAAATTAGCAAATAATTTAGAAGTAACACACTCACACACGCACACACACAGACAAATTCCTACACACAAAAAAAGGCATGTATGCCTAAAACAGGATTGATTAATCTAAAGTCGACCTTTTAAGGACACCATTTCGATTATATGCATATATGTGAAGGAATTCACACCTCTTTTATTAATCTAAACAGCAGAGTTTCAATTATGGACAGGCGGCACGAATGAGTATATGCTATAGACAGCAAGAATGGGTAAGGTAAGATAGTCCTTTTGCAATAAGTAGTGTTCTCCCGAGGAGCTGGTTAGTTTAGCTGCGGAGCTTTCGTTGTCACCCTTCTGGACAACATCCCCTTTTGGCGCAATTTTTAGCATAAAGTGAACTGATTTAAATTTTCCATGAGTGATAGAAAAATTTTAATCACAGTTCATTTCTTGCTAAAATTTGCGCTGAAGATGTTTTCCAGAGGGGGGGGGACGACGAAAGCTCCGCAATTAAACCAACCAACTCCTCAGAGAAGACTACCAATTGCAAATCATCCACCTGAGCTACAAAATCTTTTCTATTATTTCAAGATAGTCCTTTATTAATCTGAAATCAGTGCGGAAATCGACTGCACTCAGATTTTTACCACATTTATGTCAAGCTGCCCAGCCACTTGCTTTTGTGTACAGTTACAGAAACCGTTTCCAACTTGGCTACTGACAACTTTTATCAAAACCGTCCTGCTCCGAGTTCCATACCGAAGGTGAGATGGCCGACCACGAAAGAGTAAACTATAAAGAAGTCTGGCAAATGAACCAATCAAAAATCGATCGCCCAGTAAAAAAATACACTAAGTGGACCATCACACGCCAAGCCAAGCAAGCTGTCGGTAGAAATCGAAAGGAGAAACGACGAGTTGGATGTTCGAACTTTAATCTACTTCTTCTAAATGTGTTTCCAAGAATGGTTACATGAACACTGATGTTGTAATTTTCTCGTCTTTATCATCACAAACATATCGC